TAAGCCCTATCTTCAGCGTCTAGTTTTGACTAAGCCCTCTCTTCAGCGTCTAGTTTTGAATAAGCCCTCTCTTCAGCGTCGAGTTTTGACTAAGCCCTCTTTTTAGCGTCTAGTTTTGAATAAGGCCTCTCTTCAGCGTCGAGTTTTCACTAAGCCCTATCTTCAGCGTCTAGTTTTTACTAAGCCCTATCTTCAGCGTCTAGTTTTGACTAAGCCCTCTCTTCAGCGTCTAGTTTTGACTAAGCCCTATCTTCAGTGTCTAGTTTTGACTAAGCCCTCTCTTTAGCGTCTAGTTTTGAATAAGCCCTCTCTTCAGCGTTTAGTTTTGACTAAGCCCTCTCTTCAGCGTTGGGTTTTGACTAAGCCCTATCTTCAGCGTCTAGTTTTGAATAAGCCCCTCTTCAGCGTCTAGTTTTGACTAAGCCCTCTCTTCAGCGTCTAGTTTTGAATAAGCCCTCTCTTCAGCGTCTAGTTTTGACTAAGCCCTCTCTTCAGCGTCTAGTTTTGAATAAGCCCTCTCTTCAGCGTCTAGTTTTGCCTAAGCCCTCTCTTCAGCGTCGAGTTTTGACTAAGCCCTCTTTTTAGCGTCTAGTTTTGAATAAGGCCTCTCTTCAGCGTCGAGTTTTGACTAAGCCCTATCTTCAGCGTCTAGTTTTGACTAAGCCCTCTCTTCAGCGTCTAGTTTTGACTAAGCCCTATCTTCAGCGTCGAGTTTTGACTAAGCCCTCTTTTTAGCGTCTAGTTTTGAATAAGCCCTCTCTTCAGCGTCGAGTTTTGACTAAGCCCTCTTTTTAGCGTCTAGTTTTGAATAAGCCCTCTCTTCAGCGTTGTGTTTTGACTAAGCCCTATCTTCAGCGTCTAGTTTTGACTAAGCCCTCTCTTCAGCGTCTAGTTTTGAATAAGCCCTCTCTTCAGCGTCGAGTTTTGACTAAGCCCTCTTTTTAGCGTCTAGTTTTGAATAAGGCCTCTCTTCAGCGTCGAGTTTTGACTAAGCCCTCTCTTCAGCGTCTAGTTTTGAATAAGCCCTCTCTTCAGCGTTGAGTTTTGAATAAGCCCTCTCTTCAGCGTCTAGTTTTGACTAAGCCCTATCTTCAGCGTAGAGTTTTGAATAAGCCCCCTCTCGAATGATCTCTGCAAGTTTTGACAATCCTCCTTCGAATTGGCCGCTTCTTTGGTCGAGTTTTGAATAAGTTCCCTTTCAAAGAAGCCTCCTTGCTATGCAGTCATATTTGCTTATTAATTATAACTTCTTGACAATGTTTTATTGGATTAGAGCGCCTAAATGCAGTTTCATGTAATTTAAATTAGGGGCTGTTTAACAAGCTAATTTCGTGTCCAGTTTTTTGGCTCTATAGCTCGCAATGTCTCCATTGATTGAACTCTTCTAAAATTTTATTTTTTGAGGCATATCATAGAAAATCATAGCATAGTATCATCATTCGAGTAGATCCGCCTTTTGTAGGCAAACCTGTTGTCACTTCACATTCCTAAATTGGCTAGACACAAAATGGGCTGCAAGCCCTCGTTTTATGATTCAACAACGTGTAAGTCGAGTGTGCACTTCCTGTGTCTTTTTTGTTACCCTTGATTATTCGAGCCATTTAGTTTATGGTTTTTGTTTTTTTTCGATACCTTCAGGAACCAATTGCTTGTAATTCTTTTGAAAATAACTGGATATACACTGAAGGGGAGGCCGCCGGTTCCACGTGAAAAGACTCTTGGAGGGCAGCTCTCTACGTATATTTTCCAGGTAATTTTTCCTCTTTTGTTTTTTCATTTGACTAGGACGAGTGATTGGGAATTGTGGAAGATCATTTGCACCCTGACCCTGTTTCATAAAAAGTATGCCAAAAGCATACCCTGTTCCATTATTATTATGCGAAAAAAATGACAGAATTGTGCCAAAATATACCTGAGCGGAAGAGGATCTGCAGATAATTAAAAGAGTTTCTATCTTATCTTTCTCAATACCTTATCTCGAACAATTTCCTTAATTTTGATACCCTGCCCTAGAGTTTCGACGCAATTAATAATACCCTGTCCTATAATTTCGATCGGGATTATGTAAGTATATAAGTATAACCTGTTTCTCGGCACATCCCATCAGGTCAAGTATGTTACATTTGCATGTAAAGTTTCCTCGACATTGTAATAATGTATCTTGTACTATATATTAACTACTACCATGGCTGGTAATTCTTAACAGTTTTCATATTGTCCATGCAAAGGAGCAGAAAATAGGCCCTCGATTTATGACAACTGCATTTTTTAGCTTTAGTACCGTAAATCCGCGAATTATATTTTTAGGGGCCGATTGATTTAGACGAAAAGATTTATTGGGCTAATTCAAGGGGGCCTCACGAGGGGAGGGGGCGATTCGAAGATTAAGTAACATGTTGAAAATTTTGCTTATTTTAGACGCTGTTTGTAACTTGGATAAGAGCAAGTCTGCAAGTCAATGTGCCATTAGAGCTTTGGAACGAGCTGCTGCGAGTTATATCATCCCTTACTTCATGGAATGAGATGATTTCCGAATGGGCGGTGAGTCATTTTAAGATGACAGTTTTGAAAGAATTTTGTTTATTAGAGCATTTGGTATTTGTTTTTCATTCTCTTAGACCCCATTTACATTACAGAAAAAAGTTTACACTCGAGTTTGCGCACTTTGATGTTAAGCTTGCGCAGTGGCGCGACAATGACAGCTAGCATTTTGTGAAAGCCTCATTCAAACTATAGATTAAGCCGCGTTTTCAACTGTGGCGAAAAAGTTTCCGTTCCAGACCGATTACACCAGAGAAAACAAACTCGATATGGGACCCAAAGATATTCACATTTTAGCGAAACCAAAGAAGAACGGAACCGTTCCATAACTAGCACGGAACAAAGATGCTTAGTGTAAACGCAAGGTCTATCGTCGCTTTATCAGGCGTTGAACCAAGGAGCTCTGTTCTTTTTTCTGCAGTATAAACGGGATCTTAGTTCCTCGGTATCTCGATTTCATTACCCTGTTCTTGCACTTGCAAATAATAAAAATTGATATCCACGATGAAAAATTAGGCTATGTTTGCGTATTATTTTGTCCGATAGTGATCGATAAATATCAAGTTATGGATGAGAAGCTAAAATTAAGGTATTGTTGTTACCTGTAGGGGACAATCGAAACACTGACGAGAGTGCTGGCACGAACAGTATATGGCGTTGACCTAGCAGATTTACCTTTGGAACGGCTAACAGAGCAAAAGCGGAAGAAGCAAAGGGGAAGAGTGTCGGCCATTTCAGACCCCCAAGGCTGTTATGCAACAAAGAAATCGTTTGCACGTGGTTGGAGTCGGTATTACAAGAGTGACGCAGAGGGAGAGCAGAAATCCGAGGCATCAGATGCCGAAAGCAATGCGTCGAATGTCAGAGATTTTGTGGCCCTGTTGCCAAGAACAACTTCAGTTTCTTTTCAAACTGGCCAGGATGGACCCAAAAAGTCTTCGTTGAGAGTTATACAGAGTGAAAGTTCACTAACTGCAGCTTCCGTCTTGCCAGACGTTGTTTCCGGAGATCAAGGTATTAATTTTTGATATAAATATATTTCTTTGCTCTGGTTTGATGGTTTTTAAGTAAAACCTTTTTTAAGAAGAGAAGTCTACCTTTTAGTTAAAATCACTGTGGTTAAATGCTTCGATGGCCATTTCAGTTTCCCATTGGCTAGAATTCATAATAGACCTATTGTTACGTATCCAGTCGGCAACGTAAAGCTAATTCTCAATGTTTTTCAATTACAAACGCATTGATTACTATCAACGGTTGTCTGACGGGACTTGGGACCTTCGATAATTTCTAGGCTAATTATATTTGTTGCGGTTTTTCATGGATCTTTCTACCTTGTCCTCGTTTTGTGTGTAAAACATATATTTGAATAAGCCCCCACCCTTTAACTACAAATTTTCAATAAGTCCCCCCCCCCCCCTCAAATAAGCCCACATTGCTACCGTAAATTCTCGAATTGCACCCCTCAGTTTGATGATTTTTGCCATCTGAGGTTGCATATGGCGTTTTATTGAATTACCACAACAAATTCATACTTTCGGTAGTAATTAATTAAATGCTCATAAATAAATTCCTACTAAAATAAAAGAGTTATTTTAGTAATGTCTTCTTAATTTCTAAAATAATTTTATAAGCCCCCCCCCTCGAATAAGCCCCCATCCAAAAGTATCAAAAATAAATAAGCCCGCAGGGGGCTAATTCGAGGATTTACGGTATCTCATTGCTACTCTCCTTTCAACCTCACTTTGTCCCAGTATTCGTTACTGCTAAGTTACTTAGCAGAATCAATAGGAGGCAGAATGTCACTTAAATGCAGCGCATTAACTAGGTATTGCCAGTTAAAAACTTGTGACTTAAATGTGATAAAGACTTTATAGTAATTAACGGTCAGACGGTTAGTTCAGATCTTAATTTCAAGGTTACGAGGGCCCGGTCGAACGAAAAAGAACACTGCTTGAAGTTGCCGACGAGGATGAAACCGGCGAACTTCCTCTTCGCAATGTACCAGAGGCTGAAGGGAAAGCAAGAGATGCCCCCATGTCCCCAGTGCCTGTGATCGATGCCCCTCTGCTTGATGCTCCTCTTGCGATCCAAGAAACTTCAAGCAGTGACTCATCGGCAGAATTCGATCGACCACAATCCACAGCTTTCAATGTTGATAATGACGATGAACGGTCTGAAGAGACTGAGGGACTCCTTAACGAAGTGCTTGAGTCTGCCGACCGAATTTATAGCCGGCATGTTCATGGTATGCAATGTTTCTATCGTCTAGATTTCAAATTTTTCTCAATTTATGGCACTGTGTGTGTTTTTGTCAACAAAAACGTTGACTTCAAGTCGATTTATAAGTAGATGTCAGGTTCATTTGTCGCTTTCTGAGTGTTTTAAGATACCTATTGCGCGCTACCTAGCGAATGTTTGGCATCGTTGCTATCTTCTGCCATTCTTGAGGAAAGCTCTTCTTTTTCTAAAGCTTTAAACACCTTCAAGGTTCTGAGTATGTTTAGAGTAATGAATAAATTAATCAATTACACTTGAAATTGCATCTTTCTTTTTTTATGTTGAATTACCATGAATGCAACTTTAAATCATACTTTCTAAGCATTTACTTCTAGACCTAATGTTTTGTGAAAAATTAATATATGAAGAGCACATATATAGAGAGTGGGTTTTTCTCTATGCTCCAGTTGTTAATTCATTGCAATATCAGCACAATTTTTTTATTTATGATATAATGTTTTGATATTCAGGGCGAAAATCAAAAAGCAACAGCATTTCAAGCGAGGATAGTTTTGCGAGTTGTGCAAGCTTTCCATACTCCGAGGTGATCCTGAAAAGTGACGGCTCACGAAGTGTCACTCCCAGCATTGCGTCAGATCGCTTAAGTAGGGATGATTTAGACCAGTTTTACGCGCAAGCCGAAGCTCACAGATCCACCAACAGTCTACTAGATGTTCAAACAGCTTCTGGTCTCAGTCAGTCTGTAAGTTTATTTTATTATAAATTGAAAATGCAAAGCGGGAAATAATTACAATTGAATCCCGGTATGTCTGGCCCTTAAGTTCCTCTGGAGTATGAGGAAATGGTCTGACTAAGCGAATGACCGAAGTATCTGGGGTGCAACTTTCTACTGGACTACGGTACAAAAATCAACAGGGGAATCGGGCGGACTTCGGTCCGACTTAGTGAAAGTCCGTGCTAACCGGTGTACGACCTATGGGGAGTCATCTGTAAACAGAAATTGCGAAAAACATAAACAATCTTTTATTATTCCATTTTCAACAAATGACTTTGTTGCAAGTTTGTTTATCTGCTAATACATTTTAGATAAATCTAGATGATGAAAGCTTTAAGGCCCTATTCGGCATGTATGTTTCCAATAAGCCTCACTAAAAAGGTTGGTTTTTTATTTGTCTTGCCAATGACAATCACCTAGCATCTACTCCGTATTTCGTAATAAATGTCTTGTTTGTGTTGCAGGACGAAAATAACAGTGAAAAATCTTTGGATACGAAACCCCCTGACATAATTAGCGATCACTCAAGCGCTACTGATCCCGATCTAATCAGCTTCGATTCCGATGTGCAACTTTCGTCCAAGGCAACAGGAAGCGACTCGCAAAGCCTGGACAGCGCTGCATTCACACTGTACGAAGGAGACACTGTTGGTAGTTTCAAAGTGCCAAAGGGAAAGATATTAGAATCAAGAGTGACCCTAGAATCTAGGGGGAGTTTCACTTCCAGTTGTTCGACGTTGGTTGGTGATCATTCAGATACACGTCAGCATGTTCGATTTGCGGAAGGTTTGTTTGTTTTCCCATGAAGGTTTTCTTCAGTCGATTCACTCAGTGGGTTGATTAAAAACAAGTTTGCCCCCTTTCTCGCTGCATATAGCAATTTTGGTTTTGTCATCATACATAAGCAGCAATTGGAGGCAAGTGACATGAATTCAAACTCCAAGTTCTTTTTGCTAATGGGAAAATTGCTTCCGCTTAACCTTTCAGTGCCATTTATACACAAGACTTCAGCCCCCCACCCCCCCCCACTTATTTGCAAAAAAGTTTTTTTAGGAGAATAAAATAAAAAAAATAGAGATAGAAGAAAAGAATGGTGTGATAAATCCCTTTACAGTATTGCTTAATTTCCAAGGAATGAGCCGGGGTCTATAGTGCCTAAGTAACGAATTCCATTTTAAGACTTGAATAACTCATACGTTATAAAAGCATGCCTTAAAAATAGCAAAATGTTTGCAAAAAAAAGACTGCAAGGAATATTCTGAAATGCATTTTAAAGCTAATCTAGAGGGCATGTTCGCAAAGAATCTCTCATTTTTCGTATGAGAAACTGGCTATAAAAAAGAGTACTGAACAGTCAGAAAAAATAAGAAACTTCAATACTCGATGCAAAAAAATTGAAAAACTATTAAATCGTGATAAAAACTGAGTTGGTTGTTGGCCGAGAACTTACGACGCAAGACATAAAATATACATCCCAGATCTACATACAGCGTCAGAACGGAGTCTCTTGACGTGAAAATAAAGTCACGAACATTTATTTCATAACATCATTCATGACATCATAATTAAGAAACTTTTAAGAAACAACGAGTATTGAAATTTCCAGAACATTTAGAAACTGGAGTGCTCAACATTAACCTTTGTTTCTTATGAAAAAATGAGTGTACCTAAGGCCTCTGAAAACCTCTCGCCGGCCATCCAATAAACCGCCAGCATAACGAGTGCCCCCATAAACTCATGCGCATAAAATATTGTGAAGCATTTCAGTGCGTTTTTCAAAAGTTGGGTTTTTAGTCTAATAATGCTATCAACTCGAGCCCCCTTACTTTGAATTTCTTGGCGCCGCCACTGTTGAAGCTGCAAGTTATTCAATAATTTACATTTGGGTACATAAAGTGATGTAGGGTTAGCAATTATTTTGTGTATGAAATATATTTATAAATTGCTTCAATTATATATTGCGGTAACGACTGAGCAATGGGAAATAAGAAAACGATGTTTAATTTCATTCAGATACGAGAGAAGAGCCTGTTTCTGGTCCAGAGAGTATGGACTCTTCTGACAGATTTCGAGAAAGACAAGACACCCTGACTGAGGATTCTGAAAGCAATGAGGCTGTTGAAGAACAAAGTGTAATTGCAGGGGGGAAAGCTGAGGGTTGGACCCCAGTTTCTGCAACAGTTTTATGGCGAAGGATGATTGGGATACTTGGAAACATAAACAAGATCAAAGATCAGAACATACATGCCAAAGTATTTGAACATTTGATAGATACTTGGAGCATGCTTCACACGGTGAGCTTAAGAGATTTCTTAACAGTTTGAAATGAAAGCCAGCTTTTCTACATTTTTTATTATACTTGTTTAGAGGCGTCCCTGCAGGTCCGATAGACTACGGGTCTAAAAAACCCGCTTTAGATGCTCATGCTTACACAGATGTCTGATTGGCTACTTTCAAAACAAGACACGTGATCATAGTCTTGCTATGCATCGGCGTCTTTGCTGTGCTAATCTTTCAACTTAGATACAGGATTCGAATTCACAAACCCCTACAATGTATTACTATTCGTCTGACCCGTTTACCTTACCCTTGACCATCAGAAAAGCTTTTAAGACGGGAATTAGAGTGAATACCTGTGGATACTTGAGATTGTTTTGTTCTTGAAACAAGTAACGACAATTGTAAGAAATTCGATTTATGCATGTATCTTGAGCAAGGTGTAGCACTAGTTCGTCTCAAGCAATGTTACTAATTCGATTTAGCGAAACTGGGTTAAATTCCGTATTGTTTCCCATGAAATTTTAATATTTAATAGCAAGTGTGTTATTCTGTCTTTTGTTACATTATTAATTGGAAACCGGCTGTTAAAATTCGAGCGCCATACTTGACAATGAACATACTTGCAAAATACAAAGACACTCTGTTTCTGTTAAATGCTTAATGGATTATGCGCATCAGGCATCGAATTACAATCAGAACGATCATTTGGTGAGAATTATATTGTGACGTAAGCTGTGCGCATAGCTACCTTATAGGATCAAACTCTTTTCCTGTAAAAAGAAAACTGCGTTTCTGAACAAGCTGCATTTTTACAGGTACGGCAAAACCAAGGAATTTCCCTCGACAACAGATCTACTCCTCCACAACCACGGCTAATTCCACCGTTGCTATTCTGCTCATCATGGTGCTTTGAGGTATGTTGCAAGGCAATCTTCATAATATTTTGAATCGAACATCGGCTGTTTTTTTTCTAATTTGAGTTTCTATCTGTAATATCAATGTAGATGTTTTGCTATTCCCAACAGTCTTGGATATAACTAGAAATTCTTAACTGATTTTGGCAATCAGCAGTGCCTCTTGGATAACCCTAAACTTGTATTTGTAAAATGGAAAAGTGTATACCACAGCCTCTTGTTTGGACTTCAGCCTCTCATCAAATACTTACCTCTTGATGTCGAAATCCTTAGAACTTTCGTCAAGAGATCTAGACTGTAATATTTTTCGTCTGTTTTAGGCAATGTCTCTAAGTCGGGCTTCTGATCACAAGACCGGTCGCATGTTAGCTTATAAGTTGATGTGTTTGATGACTGTCCGTCGACATGACAATGACGTGTCTCGAGAACACCTTACACACTTCTATCGCCTTCTACATGCTGGGCTTACTGGCTCTGATCAAGTAAGTTCCTGCTTGAGAGAGCAACAAGCTTGTTTGAATATTATTTTTTATTTGATTTAGTATGATTTGTTACCATACATAAATTGTTAGATTTGTCTTACAAATATCGACAGTACTAAAGACTTAAAGTAGTTTTATATCAATATGTGTTCTTTGGGATATGGAATTGGAATTAGTTGTTCATTAAAGTTAAAAAGTATGCCAATTGCCCTTTTTTACATGTAATTAAAACATGGTTCTTTCAATTAGATTCAATGCAATTTTATTCGTATACTACAAGACAAGAATACTACATTAATACGACCCAAAAATACGACCTCGTACTGTAATATGCACGACCCAAAAAACGTGTGTACCTATCTAGCTTGGGCCGTTAACAAAAGGTATAATCAATTCATAACAGTTATTAAGATAACAAAAACAAGGTTGGTTAAATATTTTAAAATCTGGAACAAAATAATATAGCATCTGTATTACGTTTCATTTTTCACTCATTTCATAATTCTAATATTTTAACAGCATTTGTTTTCTCAGTGATAAGGTAAAATTTTACTGTATCTTTTATAGGCTTTTGGAGATAATTCTATAATTGTGCTCCCATAGTTTCTAGCATCAAATCACCCCAACGCTTCTTCGGTTTACTTTTCTGAAAATCATTTATTTGACGAACCTATGATTCTTGTAACGTACTAATGAACTGATGCTGATTCAAGTGGTTGCTCTTTTTATTTCAAATTTAGGATGTCATCAATTCCATTATCAGTCAAAGTGTGGATTTCTACAGCTTTGCTTTCTCTGGCTCTTCTGCCCTTATCCTTGATTTTGTTTTTGCTGCAAACACAATTATTTCAACACAAAATCTAAAGGTTGGTTTTTTCACATATATTGTCTTGATATTTCTTCATAATAGTCTACTATACCGTATTTCCTCTCAAGAACACCGCGACGTTCATTACAAAATCCAACTTTTGGATCCAAAGTTTAATAGAGGGCGGCGTTTTTCACAAATGGTTGGCTGAAGATGCAGCATTCATTAGAGGGCGGCGTTTATCGGAGGGCGGCGTTTAATAGAGGAAATACGATATTCTTTTCAAAGGCAATCGGTAGATATCTGATAATACTACCAATAGCTTTCAAAGATACAATAACGGTCACCTATTCACTAAGGTATTTGCTTTATCCTTTTTTGCATTTTTTTTAACAAATATGTGTGGTGTGTAGCAAAGGCTGCAGCCATTTCAAAAAACTGCGCGTTCATTGATTCAGTGAAATATTTCATCGTAGCACCCAAGGAAAGAGGCTGTGTCTTTGCTAGGATCGTTGTTGTGTTATCCTCATTTGTACGCCGATATGAAAATTCACCAGCCGATTAAGAAAGTTGGTGATGCAGAAGCGGTTATTTGTGGTAAAGACTTACGGGTGAGCAAATCACTTTTTCTATGATTTTGCTTGGTTAACATACCTCTCTGCCGACTCTTTTTGAATGATCTAGTCCAGACGAAAACGATAAGAAAAGAATTTGCTTTTATGATCCTTACAAAGTCATATGTCCGTTATAAACTGAATAATGCTAATATTATTTACCTGCTCAATGTCCCGTCTACGTCGTAGCAAGCCATTGCCGGTGTGGTACAATAATGTTCCAGGTAAGCCTCGAACTGGGACCCTTCTTCTAACGAGGCTTTGCGCAAACATGCAGCGAGGAGCCAATCAGGTCAGGGGATTTCATAGCGATCGCCTGAGCGAATGGAAGTTGAGGTCGGCCTTTTCCTGGAAATTCCTTCATAGACAACTGAGTATATTCACAAAGAATCTTTTAATTTCCTTCTGAAATTAATTTTAAACTTATGCTATTTCATTGCAGGAGCATATCATTGTTCCACTCCTGAAGGCTGCAAAAACAGACCCTTCCTGTCTCGCAAGGTGTTTACCAATATCTTCTGTATATATTGAGTTAACCTATTTTTTGCAAACCGAAAATTTTTAGAGTTTCTGTAATATCCTTGGGGCTGATGGGTGTTTGAAAACACGAAAGACTTTGAAATCTGTTGCTTATTGTTTTTAAGATGATTTTGTCAACTTAAAGAGCCTTTTGTAATACTTTATATACTGTCTCGAAGTTTTCATATGTTGTATAAAACTGCAATATTTCCTACCTTTTATTGATTTTAACTTGATATATCAAATGTGTTTTATTTTAACTTCTGGATCTCCTATTTGTTTTCATGACAGATTTGATTATAACACTTTTTTAATGCTTCCAAAAAACATCCCGTTTTCTAGATGTGCATCGCTAAACTGTTTAGGGGTTTTTGTAATGGAAAGTATTATGAATTCAGAAGGCCACCCACGAGTGACAGAATGCTTGTGCGTCATCTTAGCATCACTGTGTGTAAGTTTGTTCTCTTACAATATTGTAGTATTTACCCAGACAGTCACTTTTGAACCGTCGGAGTGAAAATCAATTTCGAATTGAGCATTTATGTGCGATAGAATGCAGCGCGAATTACTTCAGGTTGGTTTCACTTCACCTTCAGAGTGGAGTCATTTTCACTCCGGTTTGGCAAAATGAAACCCATGCAAAGCACTTCGGATTGCCTCTTCATCGTATAATTAGAACCTCTATCTGAAGGAAAAACCAATTAGCAGTGTATCAAACCTGATGTAATGTAGCTTAGGCTTACGGGACGAAGGCAGTAATAAGACAAAGGAAGTTCGTTTGTTTGAGGAAATGCTAGAAAGGCATTGTCGAGTATTCTTATCCATTCGAAGTTACAATTTAAACTTAAGTCGTGTAATTGCTTTAGTGATTTTGTTGTGTTTGGCTTTCTGGGTTTAACTATTTTTTAGTTTTTATAAAAGGGATCGATTTTCGAGGTTATAGAATTATTAAATACAACATAGAAGTAATACTTCTAACTTCATTTGAATCTAATTTCAGTTCCACAACAAAGCCGTTTCAAATGTTGCCCTTGATATAATCTGGTCATTGAAATTCGTGTATGAGGAGCTGAGCTGCCATGACACAGTTTTGCCGTTGAAACTATTGGAGGTAGCTCTCAGTTGTTACTTTGCTGCTTTTTCTAATGGTCGCAGATGTTAGCCCAGACGATAGCTTCAACAATGATTTGAAAATTTAGTTGAATTATTGTTGATATAATTAGGCACTCTCCTATTGGACCCTTTCCGAACTAAATAAGGCTCCAGGCTCCAGGTTGTATCTAGGCCCGCCAAGAAAAGGCAAGGGTAGATTCCTTCAGTCCCTGAGATCAGAGGAACCCCAAGAAGTTATAGCAAAGTTCGTAGCAATAACAATTACAGTTTTAATGGCATCATCACGGGTCCCTTCTTTTTTTTGCCCCAACACCCCGAAAAGCTCTTGCCTGGCTGTATCTATTTTGTTGTGATTCACCTATAATTGCCGCCAAAAAGTTGATATATTACCGTATATGGCCAATATCTTTTCTCTAGGCACTTTGTTTAACAACTCTACAGCTTTTGCTTGATTATAAATCTGGCAGTCCTGATATGAACAGTGATACGGCCCCTGAGGTAAGATATGTTTTAACTCTGTTCTTTTTTCGTGTTCCTCCGTGTTTAAGACTGAAAAGTCGATTGATGCACTTGCCTGAAGAATAATTTTGTTTACGTTGAGATATAGCCACCTTAAAGTGATTTTAATCGTCAGAACATTACATAATTTGACAGTATGATGTAGCATGGCATCTGTTTAAGATCATAAATGCTCTGCCTTCCAAAATCTTTTGTTTTGAATTAATGTTTTGACACATGACTTGAAACAGAAATCTGGTAGTGGATATGAATGATCCAGATAAACCTGTCAATCAAATATAGTAAATTTTGTAGCTACCAGGTTTCTTTCGATCAAGCAGCTCGATTCCCATCATAACAGTATATTCAGAGTGTCATATTTCAACTTCTGGCCGATACAGGCCAATACGAATTATTTATTGTTAAGCTTTTATGTCATGGTTTTTGCATGAGAATTCTTCTAAATCTCCCCTCCCTATTTCAGTTCATATCCAAGATGGTACTTTGTGTGTTAGACTGGGCCATGGTCATTTCAAATTCACAGCTGCTAACGAAACGCAAAGACTCGGTCGATTGCGCTACTTATCTGGCTCTTGTTTTCAAGGTTTGCCTCGTAATTTCAAGTTTTATCTTACGTTTCCAAATATTTTATTCAATTTTGGTACATAAATATTTTAGAAATCTTTATATCCTTCAAATGTAGCATGAATTGAAAAGACTGCTGCTAGTATTTGTTGATTCGTATTTATTTTTGTTATCATTCCTTGTTTTTGGTATGTTTTTGGTCAACATTGGACTACGTAGATTTCCCTGATGCAGCCACATGGCAATTGGCAGGTTGAGAAGTGTAGCTTTATGCGCTCTGTTCTTTTATGCGACTGATAAAAAAGAGCACGTGATCTGGAGTTCGATGCTAAAATGAACACGATTCCAGTACCTCATTTTGGTTGACGACCAGATTGAAACAAAATTAGCAGTGGATTATATGAACCTTGATTTTTATCATAAAGAGTACCATTCACAAATTTTGTTTTATGGTTTATGAGATCATACAGGGTTCAGTTTTGACGTTTCAGCGGCGTGCAAGGTGTATATTTTCTTTAGAACCTTCAAACATTTGTATCAGGCTGCTTTTTGTCGCCTTTTCTTCATTATTCTTGTTGATTTTCAAAATCGTTTTTGCAATTTGCTAACGCTTTTGCTCACTCTTTTCACTGATTTCTTTTTACCGCAATGACTCGAATTTGCGCCCAGCATCGATATCGTAGTATTTGTTAAAAATGTATTAGCTCATCAAGTGTGCACATTTTCGTTTTCAAACATCCAATGAAATTCATTCCAATCATTGCAGTACTTTATTTTGCCTTTTTTAGATTTTTCTATAGAAGTATTCAGAATGCCTGTAATAGAAATATTATTGCTAGCCTGTGGAAATATTTTTGCATTCTTTGTGATGAATCTTAGAGTCTATATTTCAGGCCTAAATTAAACTTCTATTTTATCTTTTAGACTTTCAAACGAGCGCATGATGGTTATTCGCCAGCAAAGTATCCAGAGAAACGACGGTCTGTCAACATAAATCAAGTAATGGCTGGTGACAGCCGACCAATTCGCCTGTCGAGGGTTCAAGACGACGTGTCAGATTTTCCGGATGGTTTTGAGGGACAAGAGGGGAAAGAAATTTTACAAGGTAATTCAAACAGTAAGGAAATTTTATGGAAGATATATTTTACTTCATAGAAACTTTGAATTTTAAAATGGCGTTTGGAAATCCAGTAAGAATGTACTTCATTTGCTCTGTAAAGCTGTTTCTATTTTGTCACAACTTCATATAACTTTGATTTTTGTTTATGAAGAATAGGGCATAAAGTAAGATTGTATCTTAACATTATAATTTCTGCGTTATGTGTTTTATTATTTTTTGGAGTTTTTATTGATTATCGTGTTTGTTTGGAAATGATTGGATTAGCTGATTTATTACAGTGGGGTCTGAGTGTTGTGAGGTGTACGCTGAAAAAGAACAGAAATTCTTCGCTATCTTTAACATAGATTTCTGTCTCCTTTTTTATGCTTTGTCATATATTACTTCATATGCAAAGACTTTTGTCTCGGTACTATGACAGGATGCCCCATTTGCACTGTAGTTAGGATCATCAACATTTGCATTAACTTTCTTATTTGTCCAATAGATTTTGCATTAGAAGCTGTGCTTGAGAAAAGAAAAGAGCTGATCAAAATCACTTCGAAATACGTAAGTGTTTACACGTGTTGTATTCTTTCGAAATCAAATGTTTGATACATTCAAATTGTAGCATTCGACATACACAGTTTGACAACCGCCAAGCGGCAGTGTCTCAATATATATTGCATTTGTGGTCACCATCGTTGAAAGCAATTTTGAATTCAGCTGCTGGCGTGAATTCGACTGTCCTGTGATTTGGCTAGTTAAGAGCAAGCTTTTCGTACGTTGATTGGCTAGAACGAGCTGCACTGCCTCGAAGCAATCTTCTTGTACGGACACACCTCCTTTGATAAAAGATTCCATACTCACTGGCTATAGTAGTGTTTTGAACGAAGCTTTATAATTGTCTCTAGCTGTGGTCTCATTTCCTTTTTCGAGAGGGCAGGTAATAGAGACAGAGTCTGTAGAACTTCAGAAGCCATGTAAATATCATTTTGTTAGTTTTCTCTTTGTAGCCTGTATATTTTCTTCGCTTTCCTTCAATTTGATACTGTCCCCAATTGTAGCCGATGTTCGCCCTCGCACTTACAGATGATGTGCCCCTTATAAAGCTGTTGTGTTCGTTTGTAAATTGTGGCTAAGTAAGTCCCTGGGAAGAATTATTAACTCGTTTTACATCCCATAACACATCTTTATTTGCACTTTCATTCAAAAGTTCTAATAAGTTCTTGCACGATCGTTTTGTAGGCAATCACTCAGCTGATAAATTATCTCGGCCACTTTCCGTTTAATACCGGAGCTGTTCGACCCCATAGTCAAGTTATGGAAAATGAGGACGATTCTACCAATGAAGAAGATTTAACGCCATCAATATTCGATCAAGACAATGTACAGGTAGCCAAAAATGTAGCTCTATTCTTGGCAAATAAGTTATTTCTGTAGTAAAAGAATTGCTGTCCCAATTCTGCATTCATTTCAGTCTGGAATATTGGAAACTTGGCCTGGGACCGGCCTTAGATGTCCATGCTAAGGGTGCGACCACTACTAGTTCTCAATAGTTGGGGTCCGGTGATGCTCACCTGAGAAAAACCGTAGCTTTTTATTCTACTGTTAATGGCTTTGAAAAAAGCAAACATTTGCGTAAACTAAAGCTTTTCGTCTGACACCCCTCAGAGTATAAAACATCAGAACATAGATACCCAAAATATAAAACAATATATAAGAACATAGATATAAAATTCTACACTAAGAAGATTGTCAGACAAAAAGCTTCAGTATACTCAAATGTTTGCTTTTTTCAAAGCCATTTAAAGTTTTTTACTCATTTCGGAACAATAACATACTTGAGATCCATGTTGTCCTTTTTAACCGTATAGTTCCTTAGCTTTCCCTTAAATGACGTTAAATATTGTATTATGTTTGTCATATATCTTATAAAAATTATATATATCACAAAGATTTTTATCATACTTTATTGTAGTTCTTTTTGCTGAACAAAGCTACCCTGCTCTCGGCTGTTGAAATTAATTTGAAGGTACGTCCCGTCATAATCAATTTCAAATTGCACTTGTTTTTGCTAAAACTCTTTTTAGTAGTGAATCGTCTTGCAATATACTCGAGCATTTCTCGCAGATTTAGTGTATTTCAAAGCATATATGTCACTTTGTCCCACAACTCACCTTTCATTCCCAGAGTTTTTAGCTTTACCCTCTTCTTGCTTTCCAGACTCTTAAAGCCTTTCTTCTTCCCTAATTGAATTCTCAAGAAGCTTGATCACACCTCCCTTTTTTCTTAGCATTTCCCTCCTTTCCCCTGTTAGTGCTTTGCGATAGGCTGTCGGTCTTCTCCTAACATTATTATTTAATAAATGTATACCCAGCTTGAAATTCAGCATAAACACTCAAATCTGTTTATTTTCAACTCCCTACAATGCTGTCAAATTTCAGAGGGAATTCTTACCGTAATTTTACTTTTTGCTATTTCTATTGCAGAAAGACGAGAAGATTGATAGCCCGCTTCAATCATATGACAAGTTTTGTAGATTCATTTTGCGAGACATGACGGGAAAGTACTGTTGGGATCACTCTGTTTTATTTCCAGAGAAAAAGATTTTGGACGAACCTGGTAAGATATTTGCGCGATTTGCACTAAAGCCTATGAATTCTCATTTTCATGCCAGTCAAGGCAAGCCCTCTAAACTTAGGTATTCTCGCATTATTGTCATTTATGCACAGTCGAAACCGTACTGATACGCTTGAGCAAGGGATATTAGTTCACCGTTGCAATATGAAGAACTCGGCCAATTCTTTATTCAAACGATGTGCCAGTTTAGGGTATATTTTAGTGGCTTATCAAATATGTGTAACGTTAACTATTTTACTTTTTTCCTCACAATAAACCAGGACTTTCTTTCTAAGCTATTTAATTTGATAAGGTAGATGCCTTAGATATACTTTGGTGGTGCTGATTGCGCTTATTTGTGTACGTTATAACAGATAGTATTTGCTGTTTGGAGTGTAAGTTGTTTTTGCGGCGTTCACGCTTTATGCTCTATGCTTAATGGGTCATCAGGCAACTAGAAAATACAAATGCAAGCATTTAAATAGTTGCCTGCTGATCGCATTCAGCATAGTACATTAAGCATGAAGCTTAAAATGGCAACGTACTATCGTTCTGTTCCACACATCAAAGGATGTACAGCTATGTCTAAAAGGCGTCGAGTATTTTATGAGGCATTTGTTAGCAGTAATCTTCATTACTCAAAGAATTAGTCAAATCAACGCTTCGATTTTCATTAGTCCCATTCTTCATATTGCAAATTTACTTATACCTTATTTTAACTGTTGGAAGTATCTGTGTTTTCTGGTGCTTTACCAAAGCCTCGATAAGGCTTGTCTACAACATTGGACACAGCAGTCGACGTATAAACCAAACTCTATCCCCCCGACCCTAATTGAAGTTCGTGTATATGTACATGTACAGCAGAGATATTAAAATTAAACAGCGGGGGGGGGCAAGGTCTTAATACTGCCGGTCCAGGATTGAAGCCTTTTCGTCGTATTATGTAATGCCATTTTGACTACAGATATATGATTTCAGTCCTCATTTTCTTCCCAAGATATGGGCTCCTCATTCTTCAGCTGGCTGCGCAGTTTCCGTGGAAAGAAACTAGTAACCAGCGGATGGAACAAGAGTTTTGAATCCGGGAGTCCAAGACTGCTCACGTGGGACGAGAGCTCGAATGTTGATAGAATAGATCAGGTATGTGTTGAGATGAATTGTTAGTGACCAAGATATTTTACGTATAGTGCAAACAGTAAGAAAATTCAACTTATTGGCAAAACTAAAGTGGCTGTCTCGAACCTTTTAATAGATTGAACCTTAATTTAATAGAACCTTTTAATGAAACAAATTTTTCCAAAACGCAGACTATTTTGAATTTTATCTCAATTCAGGCCCTGAAGAACTCTTAGCTTCTTCGCACTCATCTTATTTTAGTATCTTTACCCCTAACAATGCTATAAATTGCAACGAAGCCCTTTCTTTGTTCCCTTTAGATGTTGTACTATGTTGGAAATACCAGCCCAGAATGCCTGATATTCCGGGACCAAGCCTTGAATGTACCAGCTCCGGTTCCAGAACAGATAACAACAGATATCCAATCGTTAGTCGTCACATCGGTCTTAAAGCAGCACAATAAAGAACAGAATTATGTTCACGAAATAAGAGACGACGATAGGTATGGTTCCAATTACCCATATTTTAAAATATATTAGTGGTATTGGGAACTGTAAAACAGTACAGTATTTAACAACATTAATTATATTATTTATATTTAAGCTTTTTTCAGATCATTTACAGCCTAAGTGCCAAAAATAACAACCACTTGTTGGGGAATGTCAGGGCAAATGCCCCTTCAACAATAAGTGACACCTATATGGCTCCAGCTGTCAATCACTACTGACCATAGAAATTCTTACCTTAGAATAAACGCTACGAGGATAGATGCACCAGAGGTGATCGAATCAACTGCACCATTTTACCTCTCTCGATATTTCATCCATCAGTTTGGCCTTTTGTCTTGGGAAAAGCGGTGAGTTCTTTTTATTTGGTTTCCAACAAGAAGCTTAAATTGGTGGTGATAATGATGCCTACTAAAGGCAATGTGTCCACGCATGCTTTTTGCTGGTGATTTAATCGGTTCAGAGAATGGTACTTTTACACTGATTGGATTAGAGCGAGCTACTTGTACCATCGCCCTCTCTTTCCTTCCCCTCCTTTCCTTCCACTCCCTTCCTTCCACTTCCTTCCTTCCCCTCCCTTCCTTCCCCTCCCTTCCTTCCCCTCCCCTCCTTCCCCTCCCTTCCTTCCCCTCCCCTCCTTCCCCTCCCTTCCTTCCCCTCCCCTCCTTCCCCTCCCTTCCTTCCCCTCCCTTCCTTCCCCTCCCCTCCTTCCCCTCCCTTCCTTCCCCTCCGCTCCCTTCCTTCCCCTCCTCTCCCTTCCTTTCCCTCCCCTCCCTCTCCTTCCCCTCCCTTCCCCTTCCTTCTTTTCTCCTCTCTCTCCTTCCTTCCCTTCTCCTCCCTCTCTTCCCTCCCCTTACCCTCCCCTCTCTTCCCCCTTCCTTCCCCTTCCCTTCCCTCCCCCCATGTTATTTCGTATCGTTCTCGCTCCGACAGAATATAACTGTAAAAAAACGAATTAAATATTCTAGTATACTATGTAAATTTATATCATTTCTGTTTTTCTTTTGTTATCGTTGGATTTTAAATTTTGTAGGCAAGAGATAGATCTTTTGAAAAAGTCGGCAGGATTGATACGAGAGCTAAAGAACCTTGATAGCAGACCATGGTAAGAATACTCTAATGCTACGACATGAGCGCAACTTTCAATTTCTTGAGTAGACACCTTTGCTTAAAACTGTATATATTAAAGATAATTAGAATATTTATTGGATTTGCAAATAAAATGCTATTCTGTTTACCTGCTTGTTCATTCAGTACTAAATGTAACTTAATAAGGGACTTTAGTTTGAGGTCTAAATGTGAAAATGATGGCGGATTCCTGCCCTGTACTGTCTTGTTAACTACAGCTACTCCTAATGACGATCCACACAAATTAAGCTCTCCTTTTTTGGAACCTACTCCAGTTATGCTATAAGGCTGGTCGTGCGTTTTATTCCTGCGTCTTATAAGCCTGTCCTTATCCTTTGTATTTCAACGTTTGTCAGCTTTCAGGTAAGGAATCAGTTTTTGTATTATTGAATTTATTTTAATATGAACCATTTTTATATTAATCAATTTCAATAAAGAAAAATTCTTTGCAATTTCCTTCAGCCGGGAGACTCATAAAATTGCCGTGTTTTACGTTGGTTCTGGGCAGGAAGACAAAATGTCGATTATGTCAAACACTGCTGGCAGCAAGATGTTTGAAGACTTCGTATCTGGCATGGCGTGGGAGGTAAGTTATTATTCCAATAAATAGTCCTGAATTTGTTCGTGTTGTCAACACTTTCTTATTGATGGGAGTTTAAACCTTTGAGATTTTTGAAATTTGAGCAAAATGCCTAGAATTATTGGAGTTCTTTCGCTCATTTAGAATACCGTTTACAAACTGAGTGTACTAATCTCAAATACACCTGCAGCAAAATATCTTACTGAATTGGTAGATTTTATTCAAGGTTAAGTTCCTACACAGCTTCCGAATGTGAGCAAGGCCCTGGTCCTTCCTCTTGATGTGACCACACTTCGTGTTTCCTACGCCTGGAATTACAGAGGGGGCTGGCGATCTACATCACTCTAACTGACGGTTTGACCATGTCAGGGACTCGATCCAGTCCGTTGGATCTGCATCGTAGAACCCTTATTGACTCTCGTTTTCTCACAGGTCGATCTTGCAACTCACAGTGGCTTTATCGGTGGTCTTGAACGAAACCTCTCGACTGGAAACTCTGCTCCCTACTTCGCAACACATGACTTGGAAGTGATTTTTCATGTTTCCACAAGAATGCCGCTTTCTGAAGGAGAGTCTGGCATTATAACAAAGGTATGAATTACAGTAACTCCGTTCATGGCATAAAGTGAGTTTATATAAATCCTTCCGCGTCTACCTTTTCTTTGCTATGTTATGTGATTCAAGAAGACTAATGACGCTATTTGAAGTTTAGAGTCAGTGCTCATTTTCAAGAGGTGCTGGTTAGATTATCTTCTTTGATTTTTTATTGATGTGGCTAATTTTGGTTCAGGGCCGCTGGCTAATTTGAAAGAAGCACTCATTCTAGCCAGTAAATGTGGTAGAATTGGCCTATTTCGAACCTCAACTGGGTATATACCTTTCATCTTGTTCTTTCGGAACTTTATTCTGACGTTTTATACTCTGAGGAGTGTCAGACAAAAAATCTTCACGTGTGTTGTAAAATGTTTGCTTTGCTTTTTTCAAAGCCATTTTAAAATTTTGTACCGCCGAAAAATTGTTCAAATGCGGTATTGTATTACCTTCAAGGCGGGGAGCATTAGATACCCGCTACTGTTTTGAATCCCGACTGTCCACCGGAAAGTATTCAATTTCATTGGAAGATTCAACTTTGCAAGTAGGTGTCAAAGACCAAGTTTCCTTTGGAAATACCTCTTTGGCCCATTACTTTAATCTAAAACCGAACTATCAATAACGCTGGAACCCCTCTAAAGTTTGAGAGGCACCGGAGGGGACACCAGGGGGTTATGCAGAGAAAGGAAAGCTTAATCATGAATAGAATGATCATTTTGCCTAAAAGTAGTTCACGAAATTGGTACACCCAGAATGCTGGTTCATGGCTTTTGTGCGGCATACTATTATTGGACCTCACAATGGTAACATGAAGTTACCTTGTACCGATTTCAAAACAGGTTTTTAACGACCAGTTACACAGTATGATAAAATATCTCTGAAACATTAGTAATTACAACAAAGGCATGTGATCCTCCACAGGGGACACCTGATTACCATTACCAAAGAATGATACAGTACGTTAAAAGTATGGGTGGATTATCTTTGATATTTGTTTGAGTTGGAAAGATCGCTTTCACAAAGAAAGAGCAGTACACCATTACAGAACTTCTATCATTATTTTTCTTAATTGCAGCTTCGTCACCTTGGTAATGATGAAGTTCATATTGTTTGGTCTGAGCATTCAAGAGATTTCAGAAGAGGCATTGTAAACATGGAATTCGGAGATGTGATTATCGTTATTTATCCACTAAAGAACAATCTATTTAAAATCAAAATCGATAGGAAACCTGGTGTAAGTATCTCGTTTTTATTCTCTTTATATTTTTGTTTTTTTTAAGAATATTTATGGAATTTGTTCTGTTTGCATCATTAATAACTCTTTATCGGATAAAGGCTCGTGGCATGCCAGCGGCCTTTAGTAAGGCTTTCTTCGTTTCTCTTTGCTGGTGCATTCTGACTAAGACATTTCTTTGTTATAAACGTTGTACATTTGTGATCTTATATGCCATTAATCGCCTGCTCCACAGCCTATGGCAAATTAGCCTGGAAGCAACATCAATAAGTAAAAATTCACCTTTTATGTTCAGGTTGCATTCACCCTAAATAAGGAAAATATTACCTTTTACGTCAAGGTGGCAGGCCAACACTTCACGGTGCAAATTGAATTGCTTAATTGTTTACAATTGGCTAAATAATACTAATAATTTGATTATCAATACTTCAGCGCTGTATAACAACAGTATGTTTTATTGCATAATTAGAGCATTATAAACTTTCCTCTGTTTGCCATCACCTGAAATATGGGTACTGACGTCACGGCTCCTTGAAAAAGCCCATGTATTTTAACATCAAAAGGAGATTGTTTCCTTTTTTACAGATACCTCCTTTCGGGCCATTGTTCGACGGTGCTATCGTCAATGGTAACATACTCCCGTCATTGGTGAGGTCGACTGCAATAAATGGAGGCAGAGCAAAGAGGTCGACAATGCCTCTTTTTGAAAGACAGTATCCTTTATAGATATTACCTCTATGTTTTCCTTAAATCTGTTATTATGGTCATTTTACTGAACTGATTTCAATATGTTGGGTTTAAGCTTCTGGTTATCATATGAATTCTAATTGAACTTTTGATGTCATTTTTATATCTATTCTTTACTGTTCAGTTCTAATTCCTTTTTGTGAGCTCATCTTGTTTTTTAGGAAGCAAACCTAATTTTAAGTGTTGCATCTTATAACAGTTCTTTTATAAAGTCTCTTTTTTCAACTTTTACTTTAGGCTGTCCGTTTCTTTTGTGTTTTTTATGTGAGATTATTCCTGAACTTTGCTTCAGTTATGAGGAGAGAGGACGCTACATTAACCAAATATCGGAAAAGCACGTCGAAGAAACTTCATTTGAAATGTTTGCCAAAAGCATAGTAAACCCTTGTCGTGCTTACAAGAACAAAACAGGTAGAACACTTGATGTAGAAGATGGCTTGGTACATCGAACATTTAGTTTACCAAGCCGGCCAGCAGCATCTTCAGATCCGGTCGCCATGTTGAAGTTGTTTGAAGCACAGGGGGACAAAGGTCACAGAAGCAGAGCTAGTAGCAGTGTAGACAAAACAAGAGAAAGTAAGTAGTTCTCTTTTGAAATTGTCAATGCTTGATTTCAATTTCTACGAATACCCTATTCCCTCTAATATTTGCGCAGCGCAGGTTTAAAGCCGCGAGGAGTTGTATACAAATATTGGCGTGGGTGTGCCTTTCCATCGGCGAAATACAACAGAAACCAGAAAGGGAAGTAATCCCAAACTTTCGCCTCTTTATCGTGTATTACGGTTTCGATGTTTCCAAATACCGTTGTCCTTTGAGTCAAGGTTTTCGTTCAGATACGACTGATCCTCTTTATTGAATGCTGCTAAGCGTGCAAACGAGGCGAAGAGTGTTATTTGCTGAATTGAAAACAACCTGAACCAAGAAGGGTACATGCATAATCTACTTGTGATCTTTGATGTTGTCCGTTTCCACAATGAGACAGGAGAACTTATTTTAACGTGTATGCGATCTATATATTGAAAATCTAAATGAAATGACATTGAGAATAAGGGGAAAATACCCTCTCTTCCTTTGTCTGTAACGACTGTGATAATCATTGTTATTTTATGCCTAGATATGTTAACAGGTAATCATGTTATTATGATTATAAGCTATTATCTACCTGCATCTTATGAAACTTTTATGAATTAGAAGACTGTAAAATATTTTATATACCAATGCGTTTTGAGTTCTAAAAAGATATTGGGACAGGTTTTCCTAGTCTTTGACACTTCTTTGTATATTGGAATCAAATTGAGTTTTTGTGCCAGGGAAGAGTATAGTAGAGGGTCTTTGAAAAATCTATATCCCATTCTCCAGCAAAACCGCCATTTAACCAATAAAACAATTTTCTTGTAGAAGGCGTGGTCTCTCCAGTTTCATCAACTGATGAATCAAGCCAAGATTTGGAAATAGAAAAACCAAGAGAACGAAAGCGCTCTTTGTCGAAGAGATTCAAGTCGGGCACACGGACTTTTTCACCAGCAGAACAAGATGATTCGGGAGCCACGTGACGTCAATCTTTTTAGATGTCTATAATTTGCAATTCCTTTTGTCCATTTTTGTCTCATGTATTAAAGCCATGCTGTATCTAATACCCTCCTTTTAAACTCATTACAAAAATATCAGTCTGACAAATGATAAAATCCTTTGTTATAAAAGCACCTTCCTCTGTTGCTCCGTTTGTCTGAAGGAAGTGAACTTTCAAAAAAAGTTTTGTCCCTTTTTAACAATGAACACTGAAGGTTTTTGTCATACTTGTGAAATCAAGAAATACTGAAAAAGTTCATTCTTCTAAAATATGCTAGTTAGCTTCATTATCAATCCTTGATCCTGGTTTAGCTTGGCGTTCAGGTTTAAAACAACCTTGTATTGCTTTAAAATCGTTTTGTAACCCATAAAGGCCAAATACTTTGGAAGCCTGTGGTCAATTGTGTTACGTTTAGATCTACTTGCTTATTAAACAGAGTCAAATTTGGCTTTAAGGACCCATCCACAGATGCAGCAGGTCTGCTTTCATAGCAAGCATAATGTATTTTAATCGATCGTGGACATCTAAACAAGGAGCTCTTCAGCATATAGTTTATCTGAAACTTTCCTTAATTTATGAATACACCAATTTTCAGAGGCATCTTGGAGCTAGGGACTTACTCGCATGGATTATTAGTAAACAACTTTATTTCACTGACCTTGTTAAGTTACACGAGGAACGAGATACCGTATGTGTGGCCATTTCCAAGAAATCTCAAGGAGGCCTTTTCATAACAGATTTCAGGGGCATTCCCTTCCGCTTTTTGAAGAAGCTTGATGTTTCATCTCGAACTTTAAAATTCATCCTAATTGTTTGTATGCAAATCAAGTTTTCTACGGTCCGGTGACAAGGACAAGTGCGTCCAAGTAATGTTCTAACATACTAGGTAGCTGTTTCTTCTAGTATTTGTCTCCTCATGTTTATATGATAAAGTAATACCAAGTTTCATAGCACCTGTTCCCTATCGATACTTTCGTTTCCCTCCCTAGATATAAATGTTATTTTTGTTTGCATCTTAGTATATTTCGCTATTTTTTTCTTCACAAGCCAAGTCCTGTGCTTTTATATGATAAGTCCATTTTGTATCTTGCCTTGACAATGCCCTTGTTTTCCTCGCTTTACACACAGAAACTCTGTGCTGTTATAAACAACTGAGGTTTCGTAATCAGTGGACATTCTTAATCATACCAACTCGCAGAAGTATTGCATTATTCAGGAATCTGTCTTTGCAAATATCAGTAATTGTATATGTAGCGGATTTCTATAAATTTATTTTGTAAAGAAGTTTTATTTCCCTAATTGTAGTCAGATTTGTATTGACTGCGTAAGAGTTTTAATGATACGAGATTAATAATTTACATGCTTCGAGAAATAATGATTGTAACATGATTCATCATATAGAATAATTTTGCATTGACGGGAAAATTCATTTTGTTGTAGCATATATTCTAAAGAAGATGCAATGAATAGAAGTTTTGTTTTGCTGCTTGAAAGTCTGTTTTCAATACCGCATATTGACGTGCGACATCAATATTCATAGAAACGAATTTTTTAGTTGGCTTTGTAAGGGACACTTGTCCAATCAGTGCCGCTTGCATATTGAAAATGTTACCAATGGAGTCATAAGGTGTTGAAATAAAAATGTTTCTGACTGGCCTATTTTGATTTACAACTGGGTATATGTTTATATTTCCTAGCGTAGAGTTTTCGATCTATGTTTTGAAGTTTTATACTCTGAAGAGTGTCAGACGAAAAGTTTCAGTAGTAAAGGTTTTAAATTTTGTACCACCAAAAGATTGTATATACGACATTGTCTCTTACGGCGAATTATGGCGTATGATGCCTCCCAAAAGTCTAAGAGCACTGACATCAGTTTTCAATGTCAATTCAGCCCTCCCTTTCTTTCTCTCTCCCCCCACCCCAAAGGAACAATTTTGGTTTAATAAAAAGCAGCGTAAGATATTAGGGAATGTCGTTGTTACGTTACGTTTAAGATATTTGTCTGAACTTTAAACATTGTTTTAAGGGGGAAAGGGTTGGAAAAAGTATTCTTTTGGAAGAACAATTAATGATATAAAATACAACGCAATATGCCTGGTGTTCCAAGTTTTTTGGCAGGCATTGTAGAAATCAAGTCTCTTGTGTATATGGGTGAAGAACGGTGTAAATAACAATGGGAGAAATAAGGAATATCAATTTTAACCAGTATTTAGGATACAAAGGGCTGGCAAGTATTTGCTTAAGTTTTAAGTTCATGTTGATTCTTGACAACAACAACAGCAACAGTTTATTATGCGATTCAAGATGGTGGAAGCGGAAACCCTTTTCGAGTTGCTTCATATGGAGATTGTAACGCAAATGTACAGTTCAAATCTTAAGAATGCCAAGGTATCATTTAGTTTTTTCAGTTTCCATTTAGGCTGAACAAGCCAATTCTGGTGATACTTTATTTGATATTTCCATAACTGCATTTCTAAGCATGTTGCTCGCTGCTCGTCTCGTCGTCCTCGTACCCTGCTTTGCCATTGCATGACTGGAATTGCAAATGTTTGCATTAGCAAAACATTACTTTTTCCGGTTTAAGTTAAACCATGATGCAACTCTTGACTATGAAATCGCCTAGTGATTTATAGTTGAGTCTCTAAAGTCACATGTTTTTTATGCATTCATGCATTCAATTCTAACATGACCAATCCATTACCACAATGCCCCCTCGATGTTCCCTTTAATTTTCAGTCCCTTTTTTATTTGGTTCCGATGACAAACAAAATTGCAGCTTCTCATTAGACATGCAAATGTTCAATCGAATCATTGATCAATGGCATCTTCTAGCATTTTTTATCCATTAAACTATTATTTCATTATTTCTTTCACTCTGAGCATTATACAGCTACTCGGTGCTGCTCAGTATTGATGTAGAAGTAGAAGTAGAAATGCATTTTCAAATGATCAGAATTTTAAATTGTTTACTTTATAATTTTTGTAAGGTCGAAGCATACACAAAACTTGAGAAAATGGGATATAGAGTTGGGCAGAGTTTGATTGAAAGGTATTTTGCTTTCATATTTTTTATGAATTTGCTAATATCATCCAATATCACCAACCCACCTTCATTTTCTTTCATTTTTAATCAAACAAAAACTATGACTAACTATATCTTGTAATCTCTGATGATAAAAATCATCCCAGTTTGTCAGGGACGAAAACAAGTTGCTAATTTTGGGGGGGCGTGGAAGTATGAAAATTCCAACTTCAAGTGATAAATTTTTCATTCGACCAGTAGATCTGTTGTACCTACCAAATTGATATTTGTAAATAGCCCGAGCACCATAGTTCTATTTTCTTTATAATTACCAAATCTTTACTCAATAATTAGCCTAAAGCATAAAAGCCTAAATCTCTAAATTTTGATTAACATGAAACAAACATTAAACATACTGTAAGAAGTAAAGCAACATTTAAGCAAAACCAGTATTAGATATACTTAATGATTAGTAGTATTCTTTCAGATCAATTAATCAATTTTATCTAAAATACATTTTTTCACGATATAGAAGCACCAAGAATTTGGGCCTTTTATTTTCGTTCTTGATCGAAGAAAACTACCATTAAACTTTTCAGAGGGCCAAATGCCTTTTCATTCTTTACAATTGAAATGATGATTTGAGAACAAACTTGTGCATATGCCTGATTCGAAAGATGAAATACTCTTCTTTGATCAAATACTTCTACTGCAGTTTTTGCAATGTGTTCTTGCTCCACAGCAGTTTTGTCATAGGAATTTATGATAAGGACTCAAGGACATTAACAAATAACAGGGGAGTTTAGCATAAACTCGTTTTTTATAAGAAGCGTTGAGAATTTTTAGTACTGAAAGATTCTTAATCTTTTATTGAATTAACTACTCGTAGTTTCTAAAAAAATTCCCACTCTAATATTTTCTGATCAATGCGGGTAATATTATTCAAAACTGTAAGTTTCAGGTTTCTTATCCGTAAGTTCACCTTGCCTGTTCGTAATTTGATTCAACTCCCGTCAGAAAGAAAGAAAAAGAAAACGGGGCAAGTGTGCAATTTGGACCCAGCGGAGACGGGATTCACAATAGAAAACGATTGGATGGGTCAGCTTCAGCCTGTGAATTTTAATGTTTAGAATTTTTATAAATTAAAATAAAAAAACTTCTTAAAATATAAAATTCACAAGTTTGGTCTTAAGAAAAAAATTCCAAGTCAACCGTTACGTTTTCCAACTGTAACTGGATTTTCCAAACTTTGGGGGGGGCGTTACGCCCCCCATGCCCCCCTATTATTTACGTGCCTGCAGTTTGTAACTACTATTATGGAAAGGTGTCCTGCAGAATACTGCAAATTTAGTATTGAACGTTTTTGGAGATGATAGAAAGGTTTATGTAAAATATAAAATAAAAATAGGTTAGTTGCAAAGCAATATTTAAAAAATGAATTTGGTAGCAAATGAAAGAGCCAGTTCAGAAAGAATTTTGGGACCTTTTGTCTTTTTGAATTACAGATTTACCAGAGACACGCCACGGTTTAAGGATGAACTAGAAATGCTTAGATTCATATGCAAAGATTTTTGGATGAAAATTTATAAGAAGCAAGTGGACAGTTTAAAGACCAATCACCAGGTCAGTAAACTTGTTCTAAGTGGGCTCTCATTTTGTTAGTGTGTTTGACAGTCCTTGTAAGAGAAAAACCAGGAACATAATCTATGAAAAATTGAATCTTTAAGCAAAACAATAGAGCACTTTAGAAAAATGCAATATTTACTTTAGAATCTAGAAGTGCCTAAAGATACAGTGAAAGCAACTTTGAAATCACTCATGGAAGTATCTGTCAAAATGTTATCGTTTTGTTCAATTTTGTTGTTACAAAGTTTAGTCACCTCAAAGCATTTATCCATCAGAGAAGTAGGGCCTTTTGGAAGTATAAAGCCTGATTTGAGATAACTAGTAACCATTACTATCAGAATTAAACATTAAATTCTTTGTCAAATGTATTGAATGTTGATTATCAAATAAAGCTATGAATCAGAGAGAACTCAGACTTTATTCCATTTCTACATTCAATTTATAAGAATATGTCTAGCCTTTTTATTTATTCATATTCAGTATTTTTAGCCTTAGGGCCATTTATTGTTTTTAGGAGACCATTCATTTTCTTGTAGAATTTTTATGATATTGTCTTTTGTTATTGTTTTTACCATTTACCACATGTTTGGATTATTCTCCTGACACTTCTTTTATTGCTTTTTCACCAGTTCATTCAAATCCTATAATGAAATTGTAAGAACATTAAATAAGGCTGAAATTTTGCCACTTCAAATTGCTTTTGGTACCTTCATCAAAGTATGTACATTTTACCATATTTTAACTTGTATAAATGATATTTTTACATGTCTGTAATCACACCATTAAACATAGTATCATTATTGTATAGGCAGCCAGGTGTTTCAAACTTTTTGATTCATTTTTAAGATTTCAATGATCAATATCAATGTCACAATCTTCAGCTTTTTGCTGATTCTATACGTGTATTGTTTTCTACCAACTAAAGGAGTTTTTCAAATGTTTCCTTTCAGGGTGTTTATGTACTGCAAGATGAAAATTTTAAACTTCTTAGCAAGATATCAAAAGAAAGAGATTTTACAGAAGAAGCCAGAAAGGTATTTTCGAGAATTAAAAGAAAAATTGATAATATGTCAAAGTCAGAGTCAAAATTTGAATTTCTTTATTCTAACAGCTTTACTTTCCTTTACAGCTTTTAGCATTTCCTTGTGGTATAATATGTGGAAGTCTTGCTGGGCTAGGACTTTCAGCAACAGTGACTGTTGATGTTTCTTCCATGCCTGCCTGTAAGTACCTGAGCATGTTATACATTTTTTATAAGAACAACTTTGTAAGAACACAAACCTCAAAATTGGTCAGAATGTAAGAACAAATTTATAATAAGCTAAAAGCTGAGATACTGTAACATATAATTTTGAACAAAAAGTTGTGAAAAATCCCCTTAAAAATTCCATCACTCCCCTCAAGCACAAAAGATGGTTATTGTACTGCTTACACCCTAATGTTTTAAAAACAGATTGAGAACAATTGAGCTTCATAATTTTGGAAAGGTTAAGATCAACCAGCCTGAACTTCAAATTACTGATACTTATAAAATTGAGTGTAAATTTTATTCAGCTGCTGCTGTTATAGAGTAGACACTTAACTAGGCTTTCAGTCAACTGAGAAGGTCTATAAGAACGAAGTTTAACTGAAAATTGACCAAGAGGTAAAGTAACCATATGATAACTTGCATCAAACAAAAAAAAATTAGCCTGGCTTTTTATCATGAGCAATTATAATCAGCAGCGTCAACACAGTTATAATCATAATCACCATCATAGCCAAAATTTTGAAATGTTTTATGATAAAAGTATCTTGGGTTTTTATTTAGGCTTAGATAAATTATGCTATGTCCCACTAGACAAAAAATTATGCTTTTTCTATAACCATAATCCTAAAAGTAAGTTATTATGTACCTTGCAATGCATTACTATGCATTTTTCAATAGATTTGAGCAATTGTGAACTTAACTATGAAATTAGTTTGATTGGAAAGAGATGATGGTTCATTGATGTCCATACACATCATATTCATATACCATCTACACCTGTTGTGTCTTAATCTAAACCTTTGGTTTGCTTGAATGATTCATCTATTAAAACAGAGAAGGTAAAAGTTTCTCTATAAAGTGACTGGTCTTTATAAAGATTTTAGCAAAATTTCATGTATTTAGTGCCCATTTAACCAATTGATAAAACACCTAGTAAAGCAGATTCTTTTGGTTTTTAAACTCTTAAAGTATGACTATTACCCTGATGCAGTTATACTTTCTTTCCCTTAATTCGTTACATTGCTGTAGTTGATGCTATAACACTTGACATATCCATTTTGTAATGATTTTAAAACATCTTAGGTAAATTCACTGTACAGATCCGAAAGTGACTTTGAAGAAGGCATCTTTGGTACTATTCACCTCAACATTTTGGTTGCTGTTGGTACAAGACATGCCACACCAGCAGATCTTTATCTTGTACGAACCAATTTGAAGTTGCTAAATCAATATTCACTTCCCAAACAACTTCTTCCATTGGGCCTTTTAGTGAACAAATTTTATTTGTATTGTTTTATGTTTAGAAATTTATCTTTTCTTGTCATCAAAGAAGGAAATATTTCACATATTTCAAGTCAAAATTTCACAGAATAATGAAAAAGAATCCAGAGGATTTATTTTCCCAAAGGCATCCAAGTGAATTAATTTTTGCCTTAACAAGACTTTTCGCTTGGCTTGAAATCGGAGGGGACATCCTTTGTAATACTGAACTTTTTCCTGAAAATTATGTCATAAATTTTCATATCTTGTACTTAAGGAATAGGATAAGCAGGATTGTGAAATCAAGCTGAAATGTGCAATGATAATCCACAGAGCAGACGGTGTGATGATCTTTAAGCTCTTCAAATCGACCTGTATAAAACATTAATGTATAGTTGAATAAACTTAAACCTTGATGTTGTATTTACGTCTGTAAATGTTGAAAAGGAATAATTTTGAAAATTCAACATGAATAGAACATAGTTTATATATTTTATGGAAAATGAAAGCCAATAAAGCCCAAATGTTTATGCTGCGTTGCAAACACTTAGACCAACCTTTCGACCAAGTACAACCAAATTTGAACGATAAATCGACGTATTACTAAGTATTTACGTGCTTTAAAGTATCTCAGAAATGCGGGGCTTTCTTCGTGTCACTGCAAATGACATGTTATTCTCTGTTATCAAAAGTAGTTTAACGAGACTATTATATCAGTTTGTAACTAGACCTTCTTACCTATATTCTTTGTTCCGTGTAACAAAATCCTAACGTAGATATCAATTTTATTGCCTTACTTTAGAATTAAATATATAGAATTTGCGTATACGAATTTCGTCAAAAAGATAACACTGTATTGTTTCTTTGGAATCCATATTTCAAGCATGAAAGCAAGCAATTAAAGATCTTTTGGTTCCATGACCTTTTTATATATTTTGGTAACAAACAAAGATTTTCATAGCCTTGTTGTGAGCGTAACGATTTTCAATAAAGAATAACACATTTTCATTTGTATTTTCATGACATTATTTCAAATTTCGCAGTGGAGAGGGATAGTGGCAGGGTCGGGTAGTTTTTCTGAGCTTTTTATGCATCCATATCTCTACGACTTCCTTTTCATTTCTTCTTATATTCTCAGTCTTTGGTTGCGTGAGTTGTAGAAAATAGAATTTCTACCATATATCGGTGGTGCTGAGTAAAGATTGAGAACAATTCGCTAATGTTTACAACACCTAACCAAAACTTGGGTACCACTGCTAAACATATCCGTGTCTGCGTGCAATTTTCAGCTATCTCATAAAGTTAATCATTCTTATAAAGAAACAATTTTATATTTGTTTCCCTGGTACTCTTCCATTAAATACACCATTCCTAGGACCTTTTTATCGTTATTCAACACTGTGATTTTATACTGAACAATAAACTAGAAAAGTTTTAATTTTACCCAAATTTTAACATGACTTAGATGCCCCCACAATTTAGCGTAAAAGCCTACAAATGTAGGACATGATTTCGTTGACATATGGCCTAGGTCCACTGATTTAGATTGAAATATGTTGCTGCCTTTTATGATCAAGATTTAGCTGATAAAATCGTGTTTTTTGACTGAAAAATCCAAAAATCTGACTCTCTGAAACTCTCTGAGCCTATTGCAATGATACTACAATCCTTTCTATGCGAATCCTTTCAAAAATTATATTTTTTGCCCAACTGTACCCGTTTTAAGTCCGTAAAAGAAGCTTCGAGGTGCTGTTAGACATTGCCACACCGGACTGGTCCATTGACGTAAAGATTCTGTGGTTGAGCTATTTTTTTATCAAAGTTTTAACGATTTATACTCAAATGAGTGCCTGGAATAAAGCTTGAGTACGTCTTGAAATCTTTGCTTTTTTCGAAGCTGTTTCTAAATTCTATTGTTGAATGATGATAAAATGATTTTTATGTGGTTGAAGATGAAATATGATTGTTTCTCTCCAATGCCCAATGTTGGCTATAAGAGCAAAGATTGTTTTCTTATCTGTGATAAATCTTAGCGTAACCTAAGAAACTTTCTGGTCATCAAAAACATGAAAACAAACAAGAACACTCCACTGATGTAGGGTTGATTCTGGTTCGGTTCAACTTGTATTCAAGCAATGGACAGTTGCAGACAGGTGTGTCGTACAAAGGAGCCAGGTCCGCCGGAAAGATTTGCGTTCTACGCCGGATGGTTCATAAAATATATTGTTTTCTTTTAAACGCCTTTTCCTGCTATAAGTATGGAAAAATCTAAATTCTTCTTTTGCTATCAATAAATTTTTTTGAAATAAACAAACAGCTTTTGCCCTTTTGAGTTTCAAGTTTCCCCACCTTACAAAACTAATGTTACGTCACCCTTAGCTGACGCGGAAATCTTATTTTTTTACAGACGTACAGGTTTGAATGATTCCTCGAAAACTACATGGAGGAAAAGCCACTAAATAGTTATGAAAGGCGTTGTTACTGAAGAAATGAAAGTTGTTAATGCTTGAGACACTGTTAAAACTGTTAAATGCTGATCCAAGAGAGAACCTTTTTTAAGCTCGTATCGTAGTTCTCTAAACAATTGTTACTGTCAATTTTCTATTGTCCAGTATATCAATATTTTCGGATAGTTTCTCGCAAACATTGATACGATTTTACAAGCATTTTCTACTAACATTGCTTTAACAACAAATACTTATGATACACGTAAAAACTTATTCATACAAGCCCAGGAAGATCTTTTGGACTTATTTTCTTAGGAAAACATTATTAGTCTGAACTTTGGTTTTACAAGCTTATAAAAATCCCATGGTTTAAGCAGAAGATGAATTGCGTTGATAAAAATGAAGTCATTGGCTAATTTAGGTACGTTTTTAAACCGAGACGGGATGAAAATTGGGGAGATCCTTTGGATAGTAACTTTGGAAGGATTTTGCTTCTTGTGAATTTTGTGGAATTTCAAAAAGCGTCACTTAGTTTTAATCTAACAACTCAAGTTCTATAGAGAATTCATACATAATTGAACGTTCCAAGTTTTTTCAGTCTTCGATTATATAAAGCCATCCAGAAATGGCTTAAGGACAGTAATTAAATAAAGATTTAGATATATATTGTTTGAGTCTTTTAAGGTTTTGAAGATTATTTTTTGACACTAAATAATGCATCTTAATTCTTTTCTTGCTTATTTTCAGAAATGTCCCAAAAATTAAATAGTGATAAAAACATGTAAATGACGAAAGATGGCGTGGGAATTCCACATATACAATCAAATGGAGAAAATTTGGAGGAGCATAAAATGTAGCGGATACCAAATTCAATTCTGGGTTGTATGAAAAAACGGTATTAACTTCTGGTTATCAATATGTGCTAAAATCGTAAGGATACATTTGTCTTCTGAAGCAAATATTATTTAAAAAGCTGCCTATGTCCGGGCTTTCATAAGTCAGTTGTCAGATTTGTACTCAGATGCAAACTTGAGTATCCATCAACGTTAGACGACTTTGTTTTGCCAACACGAGGCAACTTAGAAGCAACGATGATAGACACATCAACAAAACAACATTGAGACTAGAAATTTCCCTGACGCAGTTATTATCCAGTATCTTTTATTGGTAAACGACGTCGGATTGAGTTTTTTGTAGTATGTTTTCCTGCCATCTTTATGGTAACAGAGATAAAAGTGTTGGTCGATGAAATCTGTCCCCGTTGCCTTAGATTCACTGTATGTCTCCCTGAACGTATCGACACCGTGATATGTAGCTGGAATTTGGTCGATGTCCAGATCACTGATTTGCCGGTTTAGGTTACTGCTTGTCCAGCCACTACTCGACTCTGGCTTTAAAGCCAATTGGAGAACCGTCAGGTACGACAATATGACCACTGCTAGACTTCCTAATAAATAGTTGAAAGAAATTTCACAATATGGTGGTTAGTCAGCAAAGAGAGTCATTATACAGGCACCGCAAAGCAGGGGGGCTGGGGGGCCTTTAGTCTCTTTTTATATGGTTTTAGCCCCCCATTTTTTAGACCCCCCCCCACTTTTCTCGACGCTCCGCGGTGCCTGTTATATGCTGAGAGTCGTGTCATTCAATTTTAACGCCTGGTCTGAATGTTTTAAAAATATCCCAACGTTTTGGATGCTTAATAATTGTCAGAGATCTTTCACGTAAAAATTTATCCAGGTGCAATCTTACTTGTAGTAGACACATGAAAGTGTAAAGTTCAGCAATGTTTTAAAACCTTATAGTTTGCTTGAATCAGTTCTCGTATTCTACGAATAACAAAGTAAGAATAGAATAACTAGAATAAAATAACCTTGTTCATTTTCAAATTAATTGCACATAAAATTGCTTTTCCCAAAATCAATATTTTTATATTTAACGATTAGTATAGAACCATGTGGGCGTAATGAAAATACTTTTGTGTTATCTTTAATGGTTGTTGTTTACGAACTTTTTAGTGCTGAAGGAGGATACTTGACGCCTAGTCATAAAATCACAAATCATATATAAATAACAGAATGGTTGTTACTTAACCAAACAAGAAATATTTGCCAACAACAATCAATCTTTAGAGATATCAGTTATCTGTTCTCGTTTAAGGAAATATCGCAGATGAAGCAGCAACAATTAGGTGAACATTGATGTCAACAAGACGCTCAAGAACCACAGCGAAATGCCAGAAACGATCACCTGTTATCAAATATCACTTACACAAAATTTATTTTAGGTCAATTTCGATTTTTAGGGATCTAATTCTACAAGTTTAATGCCGACTTCATGCGCAATGATATTCAAAATGAGAATTTTGAAGAAAATGACATGTGCATCGATAACAGTAAATTTCCGTAACCTGTTGCGATTTTTGAACAATTGCTTACCCATATTGGTGTTTACTTTCAACTAATCCAAAAACCCAACTATGTCTAGAACCAATGTGTCGATGAACGTTGGAGCAAATCGGTTGAAAACGTCCAATTTAGGCCAGATTTAGTTGGACGCTGCTTTGTTTTTGTTGCTTTAATACTTGTATATTAAGGCCTTTGCATTGATGAGAGACCATTAACATGTTGAAAATCAAGCACCTGTTCCGGAACTATTTATATTTTCTATTCATGAGAATTCATCCTATAGGAAAAAGACTTAAATTATTAATAACCACCTAAAATACTTGCGGTATGTTTTATTGGGTCTCACAGAAAATGATAGGGGTACCTGTTGTTTTCACTTAGCCATCTTATCTCGCTGAATAAGGAGAGAATAAGGGCAGAAAATGGACGAGAAACTTGGCTATTGGTCGAGAAATCTAGCGCCTCTCTATGCAAATAAATCAGCCTTCAAGAACGATTGAAGCTCCTGAAACAAAAGATGCTAAGAATGCCCTGGGCTGATGCTGTAAAATGTACAGCACGCCAATAGAAAAATAAAACGTTTAAAATGCTGCTTATCCGTATCAACGGACATTGTAAGAAAAACATCCTCGATCTTTTGTACATATACTGTAAATAAATAAGCAGCGAAGTTTGTTAAGGTAACAAAAAGTATTAGATGATTTGCAAGAGAATAGCACTGTATATATGCAGGCTTACAAAAGAAACTACAGCAAATGTTTAAGGAAGAGCCGAGAGACTATCTACAAAACCCGTCTAAATCAGCACTTCATCTTTCAAAGAGACTTTCTCATTTGGATCAAAAACTCTAAAAGGAATCGCGTAGAATAGTTCTATAAGGATTTCAGAAATATTTCGCAAAATGTCAGATGTAAGTAGGCAGCAAGCAAAGGAAAATTGTTTTGAGAACGCTTTTGTCGCTAATGGTTCTAATCTATATAGGGCGATATATGTTTCATGACTCTAATCATGTACTCAAGAGAAAACTGTTGCTTTCAAGCAAACAGGATTCGGCAGATGCTGAGTTTCAGGACCATTTCATATGAAGTACTGCACGGACTCTCTCTTTGTCCACTGCTGTTTTTCAAACATCTAAATGGCTTAAGACTGTATGCAAAAATTTGAAATTTTAACATGTTTGGATATG